TTTGAAAAATGCCGAGTATCCTAAGAAATCTTAGGGAATTGATTTTTTGGCATTTTTCTCAAAAAACCATAACTTTTGAAAGAAGAGCTGGATCAGCACAAACTTAACTCAGTGAGTGACAAAATATAAGAAAACTTAAAATGATGGCTGTTCTGGATGTTATCGCACAGTTTCTAGATTTTTACAATTTTTGCTCAAAAATTCCGAATTTCGGATGATCTCGTTCTTTCATTTTTATCTCTGCAACCTGAGCATGTTAGAAAGCCCCAGAGGACTTCTGGAAACTACATGCTTTAGTTAGAAAGAAATTATGAATTTTTAAAATGGTGCGAACGAACTTTTGGTTCAACCTAATATATAAAGTTTTCAAGCGGCACATAGGGCATAAACTTTCTTTTGAATAGTTACTATCGGTCTGTAAGCGGCACATAGGGCAACTCGATCGGGCAGGGAAACGAATTTTTGTGCGTTCAGGGCAGTTGTTATAATTTCAAACGGTCTTCAAGCGGCACGTAGGGCATAAACTGTCTTTCAGATAGGTAATATTGGTTTGTAAGCGGTAGCAATTTGATCGGACAGGAAAACAAATTTTTTGTACGTTTGTGCAGTTCTTATAATTGACGATCTTTAGGTGGCTCAGTAGTCGTGCTTTTCGAGGAGGGATCTCCTTTTGTAGTAAAGCTTGATATTCCTTTGGCGAAAAAATTGAAGGACTCTCTGACAAAGTTCTTAGACGATTGATTTCGTTGCTGTCGGGATTGATTCTGAGAGAAAAGTGTTTTTGTAGTACACATAATTGTCATGGGTGTGTTTCTACTTCCAAAACAATAGGAGTTCTGCTACTTACTTGACAATCTTTTATGGAACTTGTTGAGAAGAATTGGAAGAGATTCTCTTTGAGAGCGTAGAAAAGTGGGAAGGGGGAGGTCATCTGAATGTCTTTGTGAGAAGGGGAAGAAATTTGCAGAAAGAGCGTGGTGAACGAGAGAAAAATAATATTCTCCATGCATGCTTGTAGCAGGAATTTCGAGAAATGCTGAATGATTTGTGGAGATTATTGCTTCTTCGAGCATTTCTCCTTTTGTAGAGCTCTTCGCAAAAATGTTTACAGGAAAGGAATAGGAAACTTATTTAGAAACATTTATAGTCACAACTAAGCCCTTATAATGTATCTGCCCCGACTCACTTGCTAGCGACCCGTAGGGTCGCTAGTGTGTAATCAATTTTGCCACGGGGAAGTGAGCCTGCTGAGTACGAATGTAACAACCGGTTGTAAAAAACCATAAACCTCTCTCTTATGGCTTTTTGCAAACTTTTAGCTATGAGACTGGGAGCTGGGACTGGGGTGTAAGTGAGCATGCCGAATTACGAATAAGATAACAGTTTGTATTAGGTTGTCCGGAAATTAATGCAGGTTTTGCACATTCTTACTTCAAAGCGTCATAACTCCTCCGAAATTGCATATTTTGAAATGAGGTAAAAACTACTACGATTAGCAAGTTTTTTTCTATTTGCGCCATTTCCTTTGGTAACTGTAGCTCCAACAAGCAAATTACTGAAAGCCAGAAAGTACAAAGAATTTTTCTTGACAAGGTCATATTTGGCAAGTTGTAAACTCCTACCGAATATGAGTGTTCAGCCAGAAACTTCTGTCTTATAGCCACGGACTAGTACTACATATATAGCTATGCAGAAGATTTTCTAGAAAATTTCTGCGAAAGAAAAATTTGCGGAATCAAAATTTTCCATTTCTTCGATATTTCCTCCACTGCTGCGATCTCCGACAATTTTGATTTTTTTGTTAACTCATCAAAAATAAAGCCTGGGAGGTACCAGTTGAGATAATATCTGAAGGTACTAGCCTCACTCTTCAAGCACGAGGAGAGACTTTCACGGTTGCTTTCTTCAGAAAAGTTTTCTACGCCATGGAGTGGCCGCGACAATTATTCATGTTAAAGCCTCAATTTCTCTACTCTCACAATCGTTCAAAAGAAGCGCTACTATCTATTTTGTAGGTTCACTCCATATCTTGCTTCAGCTATATTATCATGGGGATACCCCTCTTGCCGAATGAGTTCAAGCCAAAATAGTGCAAAGGGTATATTTAGTAATTTAAAGCTTCATCTTCGGATGGTTGTAGATTTTGAACAAACGAAGTTGGTCGTAGAAGTAGTACATATAAGAGAGAGCAGAAAGAGCGGCTCCTTTTAATATGCGAAATTGGTCGAAAGATGCACATACACAGATGAACGATCCTTTTGAAATTGCATTTGCAGAAACCTGCATTAATTTCCGGACAACCTAATAGAAATAGCCATTGGTTTCATCAATTTTATCGAATACTAGCTGGCATACCCGGCTCCGCCGTATGTTCCGAATAGAAAATTCCATTTCTTAACCGATCCGAACCAAACTTGGCACACATACACTTCGGGCCCCGGCGGGTGTCACAGGCTACTTTTCGTTATCGATCGATATCGATTTTATCGATTTTTTTCCAAAATTTGAGCTACGGGGCTGGGATTTGGCACAGGGGGGTAATCGAGCATGCTGATCACCCCCACGGGGGTGATCAGCCGATTTTAAAAACTAATATTGTATTCGGAATCCCCATGCTCACTTACCCCCCCTGTGCCAACTCCCAGCCCCGTAGCTCAAATTTTGCAAAAAATCGATAAAATCGATATCGATCGATAACGAAAAGTAGCCTATGACACCCGCCGGGGCCCGAAGTGTATGTGTGCCAAGTTTGGTCCCGATCGGTTCAGAAATGGAATTTTCTATTCGGAACATACGTACAGACATACATACATACATACAGACAGACAAACAGACTTTCGGCTTTATATATAAGACTAGCGACCCTACGGATCGCTAGCAAGTGGGTCGGGGCAGATACAATATAAGGGTAGTTGTGACTATAAATATTTTTGAATAAGTTTCCTATTCCTTTTCTGAGAACTTTTTTGCGAAAAGCATTCTGCAAAAGGGGAACTGCTAAAAGAAGTTATGATCTCCATAAATCATTCAGCATTTCTCGATCCTGCTACAACCGTGCATGGAGAATATTACCTATTTTTTCTCGTTTACCACGCTCTTTCTGCAAATTTCCTTCCTCACAGAGATATATTCATATAAAAAAGAGAACCCCACTTTTCTACCCTCTCAAAGAGAATTTGCTCTTCCAGTTCTTCTCAACAAGTTCCATAAAAGATCATTAACTAAGTAGCAGAACACCTATCGGTTCAAAGTAGAGATACACCCATAACAATTATGTGTACTACAAAAAACACTTTTTTCTCAGAATCAATTCCAACAGCAAAGATCAATCGTCTAAGAACTCTGTCAGAGAATCCTTCAACTTTTTCGCCGGAGTATATAGCTTTACTACAAAAGCAAATCCCTCCCCGAAAAGCACGACTACTGAGCCACCTAAAGACCGTCAATCATAATAACTGCACAAACGTAAAATAATTTGTTACCCTGTCCGATCAAATTGCCCTACGTGCCGCTTACAAACCAGTATTATTTTTAGCGAGAAATTTTTTCACAAACAAGGCTTCCTCAGCAAAGTGATCAAAATCCAAGTGCGCTCCCCTGAAGTTTAAGCAAGGGTACGATTGATACGGTACGGTTGAAAGTTCTAACAAAAGATTCAAGTTTCTTACAACTCTTTCTGTCAAAAAACGAAGCCTCTTAAGCATCCTTCAGTTTTCTTATTAAACAAACAGAGTCTATAATACTACAAAATCCATCCATGCATACAAATTTCTTTGATGCTCCGAGGCCTCCTTGCGAAAAGTGACAAGGCCTGCCCCCACTTGAAATCAAACAGTGCAAGCATTTCGTTCTAAGTTTCAGGAAATCCGGCCAGAAGTGAGGCGGAAAAGTTTTTCTTGTTGATAGTCCAAATTGAAATTGTAAGAAATTTCCTCACTTTCAGACACCATTTCAAAGTGACCTTCCAGATTTCGCGGGACCCTTTAGGTACCCTTTCATTCCTTTCGTGAGAAGTACCAATATTTTCTTGACAACTTCTTTTTATAAAAAATACAAGATTCGTTTTCCAAATCCGTAAGAGACCATGCAAAAAAGCATCAAAAGCATCTTCAGCATCTTCATCAAAAGCAAAATGAAAAGGTCTTTGTAATAGTGTCTTGTCTCATAAAACATTAAATAGTGCCTTCCATCAAAACCAAAGTTTACACAGCAGTCCTGAGAGCAAAGTGAAATTTTTTCACAGTATTTGACGATTTCCAAAAAATCAAGCTTGAAAAATTTCTTTCGTAAAAGCATTCTACAGCAGAATTGTAATCGTAAAAGCATTCTACAGTCGGATTGTCAAGCTGCCAGCGAGACCGGAATTGCACTTCTCATTGCTAAGGACAAAAGCAGATCTTTCAGAGTAGTCAAAAAATTGCAAAAACTATATGCGAAAGATATTTCGTGGTCTGCTACAATCATTATCAAGTCGTTTTTTCCAGCGAAAATGAGCTTTCCACATTGCCAAAGTGGAATCTTCCAGAGCATTAGTAAGTTATATCGAGTGCAAGAATTTCCTGCAAAACAATTTTGCAGTAAAAACCTTTGGGTTATCTTCAAGTACACCAATCCACTGAGAGCAGTTCCACCAAACTTTACAAAAATATTTATTTATTTATTTATTTCACATTTTTTTACTCTTTGACTGACTTGTATGATCCAGATCCAGGTATATCGTGCCCTCCACAAATGCTGCTAGCCCCTTGGTGTGCTCTCATACCAGCCACGTGTGGTAACATGTTGGCAACGCGGCAAAAACATGTTTGCAACATGCCACAACATGTTGACAGAAATCTTAGCCACGCCAACATGTTGTGACATGTTCCACCGTTTTCAGACTTCCTATGGTTGGTTTTCTCTTTTTTCTTTTCAGAGAATTCCATGCTTCACTCGTTTGCTCACATTGGTTATGGTTTGTGACACCACTGAACATTAGTCGCATGGGATTTGCAGTAATCATGATTGCTGTACTTTGGCAAAGTCTATACGAATACAGTACGAGTTTCTTACGTTCTGGTATACCAGGCTATTTTCTGTGATTTCTTTGTTTAGCTATAATGCGTGATGCTGTGCCTATGGGTGGTTTAGTGCGATATGAGAATAGCATGGATTCAACGCAAGTGATGGACTCACAACTTGCACAGTTCGAGAAGCAGCAGGCGATGTGGCAGGTTCGTTTCAATTTGTATGTTCTAGCTAACGGAGGTTCAATCACATTCCATATGTGTATACAAATATTCTGTTCAGTAAAGCAGTCCAGTGAACCATTTGTTTGATTCCATCATTTCTTTAGGTTGCTCTCCTTGCCATGCGGAGAAGAAATGGGCTGACAGTGCTGCAGCAAAAGGAGACGAGGAGAAAAAGGAAGTGAGTGAATTACGATGGATTATTATGGATTAGTGATTGGATCCAGATTTCGTTCTCGATGCTGTTGGCCTCTACGCGGAAGAACTTCAACTGAGTGCTACTGAATGCGCGCGGAAAAGAAATATGTATAGATAAAAGTGTTTCTACCCCTTGATATCTCATTGATTTAGATTTTGGCTGGGCCTAGGGAACGACGACGAGACTAGGACGAAGGTGTTTGACAAGTTGTCCGAGGCGAGGATGAAGTTAAATGATTAGCGCGCGTGGTTATAGGAAGAGCTTTGTGGGTTTCTTTCAAAGATAGTTTTCATGAATCTATTAAATTTGAAATTCAGAGGAGATGTACGAGCATACCAATTTGATGCTGATAAGGAGATGCTGTCGCCACCCTCGGTAATATTCATATATGATTTCTCAAATCAGTGTTAGATTGTTACTCTTTTCCAGGAAAAACGTTTTTGCCCCACTACAACGCAAGATTCTTTGGCGCACGAGCACGCGAATGAGCCGGAGCATGAGCAAGACGAAGACATCGAAAGTGTGAAGTCGATTTGAATTTTGGATTCAATATCAAATCTTGATCTCGACATTCCTGTTTTTTTCTGTTAACTTAGCAGGGAACGATACTTGATGACCCCGGCCATTCATAATAATTTGTATATTAATAAATGCGCCTTTCAATGCTGGTTCGAATACTGTTTTCCATATCTGCGAAACGAGAATTTGGATGGAGTTACAGTTATTTTTTCAAGAATGATTTGTCCTACTGCGGAGGGTGAAAATCATTGATGAAAATTTTTCTATCCTCTTCAAATGCTGAATGTGATTTAGATAGGATACATCGTATACCTTTCAAAATTCTTAATAGCTTCAAACGGTAAAATAAACCAAATTGAGTACTTTTAATTACCTAAAAGTACGCAAATGTTTTACGAAAAAAGTTCATAACTGCCTTCACATGATCGTCTCACAGAATTCGAGCACAGATTTGGAATCAGCGTTTTGAGGTGCACCTTATGGTATACATCGCATACCAAATGGCCGGGGTCACCAAGTATCCTTTCCTTGTTAGTTATAGTGATATCAATGTTCTTTTTCGGTCACGAATGCTAATGAAGAGTGTTTCTGAACTCTGCATCGAGCACAACACCTTTGTAAGATGTGTGTAGTACAAATTTTTGAAGGAGAACCAGTCTGAGAAAAAGCCCAGCCGGAAGCTGATCGAATCGCTGCTATATCGCGTCTCCCGCAGGAGACTGCAGCCTAGAGCGGGAGCCGGTGACTGGATCGCGACATTATCGGGACTCCCGCAGGAGCTACCGGTTTTCTCAGTAGAAAACATGTCGGGACAAAAGCGCGTGTCGCACAGCATTAGCCCGAACGAAAACCGGGAGTCCCGGTTTTTTCGCGAACCATTTTACTTGTGTCCCGCAGTCTCCGGCGGGACACAACTTTTTCACCAGCGGGACTTAACTGCGAATGTCTGAGAACAAGCGCAGGCGAGATAAAGCATGCAAGTGGGTGGGGCGACCATGGTCGCCCCGCCCACTTTGCTACTTCCGGAGCGAATTTCTCGCTCCAGAAGCAGTTTTTTGCGGTGAAGCTTGGGGGCTTGCCTAGTGTGGGGGCCCACACTAGTATGCCATCATAATCTCGACGACCTCCATTTTGGGTGGACGGTGCCTCCAATGTTGGGCCAAAACATGCAGCTAGGTTACTGCATATTCTTAAAGCCTGAAAATGAGCTGAAAGTGCAACAATGCGCTCAATTTCAAAATTTTTATGTGCGATTTTTTCGCAATAAAACTGCTCATAAGTTCTTCTCCAATTTGCTAAGCGATATGGAAACTGATTCGAAATCAGCGTTGAATGGAAGGGGGGGGGGGAGGGTAAGTGAACACGGTGATTACAAAACAACCGTTTGTTAGAATACTTGTTACCTTTATCCACTTTATCAATTTTTCGTGGAAGCTCAGCGTTGCACATAATGGGCAAAAAATCGAAACAGTTGTCTATCGCTTTTTGGGCAGAGAATGAGAAAATCTCTGAAAAACCCGGAAGAGCAACTGCTCTGCAGAAACTTCATTTTTCTCTTGAGGGAATGAGCAAGCATGGTCATGTTGGAGGAAGATGCACAGCGCTCCACAGAGCAGGACACTATTTTTAGAAGAGTAAAGATGTTTTCCCAGCAAATTTTTAGAAAGTCTTCAAATGTCAATCTAAAGAGCAGTTGCTCATAGCGGGGAAGTATGCAGTGTTGCGCAGAGCAGAACACTATCCTATGAGATATCATCCAATTTCGGGCCAAGCTTGAGGAAAATCTTCGAAAGTGACAAATTTTTAAGGCAACTGTGCAAATAATCCATTTTTTTCTGGGGAAGGTAAGCAATGAGCAGAATTATCACAACGAGTAGAAATTATACAGCATTGCGCAGAGAAAAGCATTATCTTTACAAAAACATCACCTTTTTTTTGCAAAATTTGGAAAATTTCCCAGAATCTCGCTTTCAAAAGCAACTGTTCTCCAATAAACCGTTTTTTTCTTAAAAGCGTAAGAGTTTATTTTAAAATGACGAGTATTATGGAACAAACTCATTCCAGGAGTTATCTTTTGCTCTGAATCTAGAAATGATCTCTATCTTCTTTGTCAGGCTTTCACAGCTATGTAGGTATACTGTAGATGGCAGTATGCGTGACTTTATTTGGAAAATGCTGAATGGTTCGACAAAGCTCTTGGTCCCAAGAGGCAGACAATCAAAAATCTACGTGGTCGTCAATGTGTTAAACAGAAATGATGTTGTGGGAGGGAATCGTGTAGCACTCAGCAGAGCAGAACACTATCTTATCTTCCATTTTCTGACCAAATTTGGAGAAAATTTGTCTCGAAATTTCAAAACAACTGCTCTGCAAATATCATTTTTAGAAAGGTGAGCGTGAAGTAAGAGTGATATGTGGGAGGAGTTTGTATAGTGTTTCGCAGAAAGAACACTATTTTAAAAAAGTAACAAGCGATCGGGCAATCCTGAGGAAATGTGTGAAAAGTTTGATCCAGAGAGAGCAAGCTTTGCAAATGTCATTTCCATTCAAAAAGTGAGCGTATGAGCAAGAACAGTGTTGTGAAAGGGAACTATACAGCATTGCGCAGGGCCAAATCCTGAATTTTGAAAGCAATTGCTCTGCAAAAATTCGTTTTTTTTTCTTTTTTGAAAAGGGTCTTCTTGTGAGCAAGAATGATACTGTGGGAGGAATATGTACAGCGCGTTCCGCGAGAAGAGAACATTATTTTGAAAAGCTATCATCATCCCGGCCAAGGTTTCACAAAAATTCCGATTAACTCGGTTTTGAAGGGAACTGCGGCAACACCGAGTGTCGCTAGCAAACGGGTTGGGGCAAATCCATAATGCTGTTGTGAAACTATAAAAAATTTCGAATGAATTTCCAACTCATCAGTCTCTCTGTATATATGTATACATGTCTGTCTGTCTGTAATGTTCTAAATAGAGAATTCCATTTTTGAACCCATCTGGACCAACTTGGCACACATGCACTTTAGGAAGGGGTGGGGATTGTAGGCTACTTTTCGCTATCGGTCAATAGATTTTATCGATTGTATCGATTTTTTGCAAAGTTTGGGCTAGTTGCTGAGAGTCGGCACAGGGAAGTAAGTGAGCATGCTCGTTACGAAAACAGCAGGTTTCTGGCATATCGAGGTGGAACAGGGAAATGATGTATGTACAGTGCTGGCCATAATTATAAAGACACTCTAAAAACTGTTGTTGATGAAACTGTCCACTTCGCTGTATAGTGCGCATGTTAGAATACCATGATCCCTGAAAACGGTTTTCAATTTTGTTGAGTTCAAAGGGAGAAAAATGGAAAAATCCGAAAAACCCTCTATCCAAAGCTGGACAAAATTATAAAGACACCTGTTTTTTTTTTGAACCCATCGCATCCTCTAACTCTATAATTTTCTTATACAGTCACATACTAAAATCTGAAACATTTGCAACATTCGCGACCTGTCATCCTTTTTAAAGAGAAATGTTCACCGCATTTTTTGCTTTCAGAAGCACCAGAACTCAATCTGCTTCAACAAACAGCTGGTTTGAGGAGTTTTCGAGCTCGTTTTCATCTCAGATGATAGTCATGGAAGCCACTAAGCCGCTTCGATGAATGAGTCCAAACTTAACATAGGTTTGTCACGCTTTCAAACCACAAAAAATTTTCAAGCAACAGAAAATACCGCAATGTAGCCATTACGTCGACTGTACAACAGTAAACTTGTGTGCATAGCTGGAAAAAAATTTTGAGGTTGGTTTAGTGGTTTAGTCGTAGTTGTCATCCACTGAATGTTGAGTGGAGTACCCTGCATATTATAGCTAACTCAGATCACGAGATATTAGGTTGTCCGGAAATTAATGTCCGTTTTGAAATTCAACTGCAATAAATCATACACTTTTCACTCTTAAATAGGCTTCAAAGTACCGTTTGATAGAGCAAAGCAAGCTCTACAAGATGGCGATCTCGCTTTAGCAACAGCTCTGATCCACCTCGAGTTTCGAGTCAAAAGCTAAAATGATTCAACTACCCGAAAAATTGAGAAAAATCATAACTCAATTCATAAGAGACCTAGAAAAATTCTAACTTGCTCACGTAAACACTTTTCACATAAGACATCTATGTACGCCGTTGCCGTATTTTATCCTTCGTTAGAAATCAAGAAAGCAGAAATTTTCATGCTTTTGCCAAAGTGATGCTGTGCCGTTCCCACATAAGTAGATGTATGCTACAAATCTGTAGAAGTACAAACGTGGACTTTCAGCTCTTTACAAGCTTTAGTTCTCGAGAAATTTGAGTTTTAGCTTGGACCACCTGACTAATGAAAGCTATAATCGATATATAAAGCTGAATGTCTGTTTGTCTGTATGTCTGTCTGTATGTCTGTACGTATGTTCCGAATAGAAAATTCCATTTCTGAACCGATCCGGACCAAACTTGGCACACATACGCTACGGGCCCCGGCGGGTGTCATAGGCTACTTTTCGTCATCGATCGATATCGATTTTATCGATTTTTATCGATTTTTTTGCTGAGTTTACCTACGGGGCTGGGAGTTGGCACAGGGGGGTAATCGAGCATGGGGATTCCGAATACAATATTGGTTTTCAGGATTATCGATTGCTTTTATCGATTTTATCGATTTTTTTGCAAAGTTTGAGCTACGGGGCTGGGAGTTGGCACAGGGGGGTAATCGAGCATGGGGATTCCGAATGCAATATTGGTTTTCAGGATTATCGATTGCTTTTATCGATTTTATCGATTTTTTTTGCAAAGTTTGAGCTACGGGGCTGGGAGTTCGCACAGGGGGGTAATCGAGCATGGGGATTCCGAATACCATATTGGTTTTCAGGATTATCGATTGCTTTTATCGATTTTATCGATTTTTTTTGCAAAGTTTGAGCTAGGGGGCTGGGAGTTGGCACAGAGGGGTAATCGAGCATGCTGATCATCCCCAAGGGGGGTGATCAGCATGCTCGATTACACCCCTGTGCCAA